CATTCTCAAAATATTAATTTGTCAAGTATGAATTATAAAGCTGTAACATTTCATAATTCAGGACACACTCAAAAACTAGGAAAAATAGCTACAAGACCCTAAATAAAAAAAAAAGCATTTATTCCATTTTTGACAGCTTAACGAATGCTCTACTCTTTTGCATTGATTTTTGTGCGTGTCGGTGTGTGTGCCTGCGTGCCCAGGAAGGATTTCTCATGGGGTTTGCTGTACACAAGGAAAGCTAAATCCTTTGCCAATGCTTTTTTCCCCCCTCCCCCCCCCCCTTTATGTTTAAATAACCTTCATATTAAAACATTTCAGGAGAGAATAAATACCAAGAATACAAAGAACAGCTACTTGCATCCCAGTAAGCATACTGGAAAGCCGCAGAACAAGACATGAAGCAGTCAGCTCCCCTGAAGCCACCCAGTGACAGGAGCAGCGTCTGCTAATTCCTATTTGCAGAAAGTAACAGCAAATTCCAAGAGCAAGGTCAACAACAACAAAAAAAACCCTAAAAATTTTTAATTCATGACTGATTCAAGAACAAACATTTTCCTCACACACCTAAAGGCTCATCTTGAAAGGCAAAATATGTAAGCAGAGAAGTGTGCAAGCATCTAAAGATAGAAAGCAACGCATCTTAAGGAGCTCTGCGCCACTTAGAATTTCTAAATAAATATTCTGGCCACTTGCATCTCCTCTTTAATGTTTCTCCTAGTTTTTAACATCATGCACTATGTATGATTTAAATGGAGATTAATTCTTCCATTTAAAATGCTTTAAAATAATTCTGCATATGATCTTGAGATCTCAGGCCAGCTCTCCATAGTGCCTCCCTTCTAGTTTTCCTTGAGCTACATAAATGGAACTGACAGATCACTGCTCAGATAGCAGCCACATTCTTCCCCCAAAATGTTGCCTTTTTGCTATTCAGGAGTATCCTAATACCAACAAATGCTAAATGCAGTCTGACATGTACCCCTAAGAAACAAACTTGTAAGTTGTGGCTTCAAAGAAAACCTTGAATAAATAGGACACATTGTGTACACCCAGGCTAACATCCAACATATGCTTTAGTTTCCCGATGCTGAGACGGAGCAAGAATAGCCTCTGGTAAAGCCTCTGATTTGCTATTGCTGGTACTTCCAACATTCATAATGCACCATCTTTTTTTGCCTGTACAAACAATTTTAAAAAAATGTAATTAAGACGACCGTGGCAACACTGCAGAATACAAAATATTCTGAATAATGGATCACTTGACACGCCACTGGTTTGATCAACAATTACAGAAAAAAAAGCAAAGAGCACTGCTGTTTCTTGTCTTTGCAAGGCAGTATTGGTGGCAATGCTAATATCACTGGAGAGGTGGTTTTATCAAATTAAAAAGTAACCCACACAATGAGCAGTTTAAATTCTTCCCTTTGATGGTGGCAATCAACATGCCCAACAGCAAGATGCTGCTAGCTGGGGCTATTTACAGCCACAGATACAAAGGTGCTACAATAGAGACAGGAATGATGATAGAGGCAGGAACAGAGAACACAAGAATATGAGATAAGAATTTTATTTGTTACTTACACAGGGAAAACGTGGATGAAGAGGAAAGACACGACCTATTTTAAGATTCAAATGTTCTGAGCGTTGTTGTTTGTTTTTTTTGCCATGACTTAATGCTCTTATTCATGACTAATTCTGGTGAAAGAATTAAAGTGAGCATAATTCAACCATATCTTTCCCTTCTCCACTTTAAGTTCAGTTTCCACTCCCTTCTGCGCTCCATTCCTTTGGACTTGTTAAAATTCCAATTAATAGATTTACAATGCAGTGCGCAGGCTGACTCGTGTTGACAGAGCACAAGTTAATTGATCAAGATAAACGAATAAACGCTTCATAGAGTAACGTGAGCCCACACAGACCATGGGCCATAGGCTGACCAGTGGAGAAACACTGCGGCACACACCTACCTGTCAGCTCTCATTCTGGATGGGGGACCTTAAGAACTGACATAACGCTGTCATTCTCGCTTTACCCTGCATACACACAGCTCAAAGCTGCATCACTCAGCTGATGACACCTCTGCCTTTCAGAAGCTCCTCTGCATTCAGCTGAGGCTTTAAGGAGCTGCACATTTTGTTTGGTTGGTGCTGATGTTAACTGCCAGTAGTATTTCTTAGAGAAAAAGATCGGTGTGTAACCTGATCTATAGCAGCCCACAGCTTTAAGAGAAAAGCAAAGCAAAGCTGGTAATAACATGAGCACAAACAAATTTCACCAGAGGCAAAACCTAACACCTGCTTTTGAGATCTCACCCCATCAGCCTGGAAGTCCTGCCAGCATCACTGTGTTGGAACAGCTGCCCAGAGGCTGTGATGCCCCGTCCATCCCTGGAGGTGCTCAAGGCCACATTGGATGGGGCCCTGGGCTGCTATGAAATGTGGAGGTTGGTGGCTCTGCCCATGGCGGGGGGTCGGAGCTTCATGATCCTTGAGGTCCCTTCCAACCCAACTGTTCTATGATTCTATGATCTCTGCTGCTGCACAGATGTTTGCCACGGAAAAACCACGTGGCATCTTGGCACCGAATGTTAACATCTATTGTAACACCGTTTAAAACAATTATTCAGAGAAACTCCAGAGATTATCTTTAAGGTTATCCTGTGACTGTATACTTTCAGAATGCTGGAGCTGTACAGGGTCATGGTATGTCCAAATTATCTATTTCATCAGGAAAGGCTTCAATGGATTATAGATTATAGATTCCCAAGCCATAGTGCTCTTTTGAGAAGCTAATTGCAGTGTAATTCATTGTTCTTATGAATTCCTGGGATCTCTTAACAGCCTAAGAAAAGGAATAGCTTATAATAATGAAAAAATAAGCCTGAATTACTTCTGTGCATTATTTACAGCAGCTCTCGTTATGGTACGTGAAGGTTTTCATTTCTTTCATTTGACACAGTTAAAATGCCACAAAACCCCATTAAAAGAATCTTGTTTTCAAATAACCACTTATTTCCTCTGTATCTTAAACTAAAAGTAAGTTTTTACCTCTCTCAGAAGAATTTAAGTCCATCTTTTAACTCTCACTGCATTCCCAAATAAGAACCTATGCACACAAGCATCCCAGTCTATTTTTCACTCCACTGGCCTCAGCGTCAGACAGCTCACAGTCACCAGCATGCACTTGTGCCAGAGGCCTCGCTAATATTACTCAAGCCTGCATGTTTCAAGAGGCCCTCCTACTTCTTCCCAGTACAAAAGCCCCTATTGATAAGCCGATGAATAGTATAAATGAAGTTCTAAAAAGAGAAAAGTACAGCCTCTATCATCAATTGTGTGTGAAGACAGTCCTGGTTTCCAAAAGGTCAAAAAGCAACAACATCTCCAGGTAAAAACTGAGTGGAAGTGTGCCACTACTGAGGCACGTCAGCATTTAAGCTATTTATCCATCAGAGGGCTCCTCCAGGCCTGCAAGGAATCCGGCACCTTCTTGTCCTCCTGTCCTTGACACACTTCTGCTTTGATATTACCAAAACAGCCTCATTATGGAGAAAGTTTTAGGAGAACTTTCTCTTTTGGAAGCAAAATAAGGGAAATGGAAAACAGGGAATAAACAATCCACCTAAACGTGCTACAAAACAGCATGCAAATCTGCTACAAAATAAAAGTGCTCTATCTTCTAGATATGCTATCAGAACCCAGTGCATCAAGAAAGCAGTTACGACAGTATACTCCAACTCAAGTCTTTCCAGCATTTAGAATCCATACAAAATCCAGTACCTAAGAACACTGAAGTTCTGTCAGTTCAGGGATACAGCTTGCATAACAGTAGAAAGCACTGAGATGTCACAGTTTGGACAAAGCTCAAGACACCTGACCCAACAAAAGTGCTAATATTCTGGACTGCTCTTGGAAGCAAGACTTCCAGGTAGTTCTATGCCAAGGAAACCAACTAATCCTTTACCAGTTTTGTTTCAGACTGCCTCCAGTATCTGCAGACACTGATGAGGCATAAACAGGGACTCTGCTCAGAAGACCTGCTGTGGCACCTATTGCTGTGACACTCTGCTAGGGACTTACCAGTACTTATTGCACAGAACAAAATAAGGAGACTTACCAGCATTCTTGCATCACATTCGTGCTCCTGAGTAAGCAGAAACACTTCTGAACACAAGAACTGCTCTTTCAAAACAAATGCAGCATCAGAAAACTTGCAGCAAGCATCTGTTCTCTCTAAGGCTGACTGTGTGTGTATGTTATACAAAAACATATCAGAATCTATTGTAACCAACAGTCTTCATAACAACTCAAGCTGGAGGCAACTTTTTCCTCACATGATTCTGTAACTCTACTCAAAGGTGTTTTGGCAGAAATCTTAAGTTTGAAACGCTTTCCAAACCAGAAGTACTACAGTAAACTATCAGAATGACCACAATCGCTTGACATGTAATATCGTGGAAGATGTCAGTCTGAGAAGAATGCTTGCAAGTAGTGCTACACAGAGTATGCTTTATACTGGGGACATAACTTCCTGTTAAATAAAGGCAAAGTCTGAAGTAAGCACGGGATTTGGAAATCCAACAAGATATGACTTAGCTGATCTAGAGTAGCTTTTATTGCTCTATCAGTCGTGAGGATGTCCAACTTAAAACAGGCTGAGCAGCAAGTACCACATGTGTAGAGTATTTGCAGCAGGAAGAGTCTTGCCTCTCCAGCACAGCTGACAAGTTGTTGGGAATCACCACAACATCAGGAGGCTTTCACATATCACCACAACTACTAGCTGGAAAAACAAACATATCCTCTTCTACATCCCATAAATTGCTGTAGTGAGCAATGTAAGCATCAATTCGATAGATATAAATTAAGATGTGAACTGAATCCTTCAAGTCATTCTTCCCTTTGGAGAGTCAGTGCAGCTGATGTACATGTGTTCCTCCCTTCCCTCTCTCCCCAGACACAGAACAGTGCAGTAAAAGTCACGTAAGGGGAACATACCATCATAATAGACAATAGCTCCAACAAGCTTGTCTTTGCGCAGCATTGGGAAGTGCTCCAAGGCTCTCGACTTGCTGAGGACATAACTCCTTTTTAGACACTGACTTCCTGCCACGAGGTCATACAGTTTTATTCCAATCCAGTAATATGGCAACTGCCACCATCTGCAAGAAAAAAATAATTTAACCTCACAGGAAGTTAAGAAGTGAAAGCTCACACTTCTTGTAATACTTCTCATAACCCAGCATGCTGCATTGGGCTGGTTTTACTTTTGTACTATTGAACAAGTGCACAACATCACGTGAAGTGAACGTTCAAAAAGCTACATGTTGTTTGCTATTTTCAGCTGGTCTCCTCACTGCAGGAAGTCAACTAAATTCAGCACTTGTTTTTTCTAGAATTCAGACTACTGTTTTTTTACGTCAGCCTAAGATGAGGGATCAAAGCTGAGCACTGAAGGAAGAACCAGACTGCTTCAGCACATGCATTTTAGAAGTCAAGATAAGCTGGAAGACCTAATGCCTCCTACACAAGTAAGACCAAATAAATGTAGCCCACTGCCGACCTACGTGAGCTCCAGCTATTACAGGCCTGCTCTGTAGGACAGGAATATGGCCACACGTTAGGAAGATTCATCAAAAGCTCACTGCTTTGAGTAGCCTGTTCTACTGAACAACTGCTCTCACAGAGCTAAAAGCCTAACCCAAATCACTGAAAGTCTTCCTCAGGAGGAAGAAACTGTCCTCTTAACACCAAAGTGCCACGTACAGTGGAAGGCAGCACACTAAATTACTGCAAGAACACTGGTAGCTGTCAGGACTACACAGTACATTTTGAAGAAAACGTTAATAGCGTGCACTGAAGACAAGGATGAACTGGAAAGAACAGTAAATACTATCCTGGGAATTCTGAGTTCATTCCAGCTGCAAATTCCCTTCCTCTACTCCAACTGTAATGGTTAAAATGCACCAAGAAGTTGGAGTCCAAGAGGTGCTACTGGCAGCAGTGATACCAGGCTCATCCATGTAGGCAGTTCATGCTTCTACAACACTGATTCACCTCTGGGAAGACAAGAAGGTTGTGACAGGTATAAAGACACAACTGGGAAAAGGCATCTGGAAACTTCTCCAGGGAAATAGCTTGCTTGTCGAAGGACGTGCTAAAGGAGAGATATGATAGTAGAGCTTACTTGTAAACAGGCAGCATGATAGGCAAAGGAGCTGATAGGTGAGGAGCTATTTCTAGTAGGTTTGCACGCTCCTGGAGTGCTTCTTTCACCATCTTGTACTGAAAAAAATAAGTACACATGAATTTTAAGTTACCCAATTGTGCCCCAAAATGCAACGTTTATTGAGAAAACTGTTCATCAAAATGTATTTTAAATTAGAGAAGTCTCAGTGAGACAAATTGATTTCTAAAAGCAAGAACATCAACATCAACTTCCACCAGACTGAGGCAACACAAAAGTACATGAAATGTTAATCACATACATAATCACATAATCATTTATCATATGTACACAATCACTTATTTATCATATTTTCCTTACCCATTTCAGAAGCATCGGGACAGCCCTCACTCCCCCAGATCCTGCAGCCTGACAGCTAAGAAGCTCCTATTTTCAAGTCAGGGTTTCTGCCCTCCCAACCCAACACACCCACAGTCTAAAAGGTACAGCTGTTGGATTGCCTGTAAGTGAACTTGGCAAGAAAGGGCACCACCAATTTCCCTGTTTTGGAAAGCTCAACTGGAGAAGACATTTTCTGTGTTGCAATCCAAAGCCACTCGTGCAGTCAAGTATTAAAAAAAGAAATAAAGAACTCTGATGTAATTGGGATAGGGAAAGTGTCTACCAGCAATTTTTGCTTAACAACCTGCATAAACAATTACCTGCTCAAAATCCAACTTCATGATGGCCTTCTGAAGATATCTCACTCCACCATGGATCAATTTAGTACTCCTGCTGCTGGTCCCTGATGAGAAATCATCTCTTTCTAGAAGGGCTGTTTTTAGTCCTGTGTTACCAGAAAACCAAATTAACTTCTTAAATTACACAATTTGTATGTAATTCATTAAAGACACTTCTCTAGGGTAGAGACAATCACAAGAAAAATTACTCTGTACATGGATAAATTTGTATTCAAAGTGTAGTGCACTGTCTATATTGTAATGAAAAATTTTAGCCTTCTTCCTGAGGGAAAAGTCAAAACAGAACTTAAACAGAAGCACATTAAAACCTGGATATTTCACAATAGAAAGGCATTACAGTACATTATAGGGGCCACGCTCCCTCAAGCAAATTATAGTTTGTATTCATGGCAGGAACAGAATATTTTCATGAATCCCCTTAACTCTTTGCAGCAGAGAGCTCAAACTATCACACTAATTATTTCAACAGCACAGCAGCTAGACAGATCACTGGCAACCCTGCCTTCTCCCCAAAGTTTGCTCCAGAGGCTCCCAGTGCCAGAAGTGGGCCCACCTGCAATGGGTGCACACTCAAGGAAGAGCTTATGTGATTGATGCTTCCAAGTCATCCCTGTGACATCTTGTGAATGTGGGCACTGCCATTATTTGCTCTCCAGAAGGTTTCCCAACAAGACTGCTAACACCCCAAACCAGCCAACCAAACCTTAAGGCTTAAGGTTTAATGCAAGTAAGGCTGAGCTCCAGCACAGCCTTACTTGTTTCAGAGACTGAATGAAACAGGGAAGGAGGGAGGAAGGTTTTCCTCCATCTAGAAGGCAGATACCTAAGTGCAGCACAAGGCTACATAAAAGTAACAGAGCAGCAGACAATACATCCATTCTGCAGGCTGAAAACCTGCAGCCCTTTCCAGCGAGACTACCAACAGCCACAGGGTTAAGAAGGATCATGCAGAGCTCCAGAGCTTTCTGAATCCAAGTCTGAGCAGCCTTTTGGGATTAAGAATTCAGCATTTCACCTCTGCCTATCAGCTCATCCAAACCCAAGTGTATGCCAGCCTTAAAAGCAACAATCCAAAATTTCAATCCCCAGTGTTCAAAGACAAACCAGCTCCCACTGATTGTTACTGTGAAGCAAATGAACTACTTCTAATATTCGAGTTTCTCACTCATAACTGAAGAGTTTGTCCAAACATGAGCTTGCCATAAATTGATTTTACTAACAAAATTAAAAAGCCATTATCAATGTACAAGTTACCAAATCCCAGCTTCCCTGGTCATGAGTGCCACTAACCAGACAGACCTCCTCCATCTCTGAAGATGTGCAAAAGCTGTTTCACTTCATTATTTTTCTCCTCTCCATTTTCATCCAGGAGAGCAAAGGAGAGCACGATATACACACACACACACTCTAAGGATACACATCCTTATATACATATACATGAAGTCTTGTAATTAAGACTTAATACAAAATATAGCAACTTCGCTAGGAACTGCAGGAAAGAAGAGTTGATCTGCAGCTTATAATGCACATACTGCAACACAGACATCCTTCTTTTACACCCTGTACAGGCAGAGGGCCCACGCACAGTGTTAGCTACCAGACAGCACAGAGCCTTGCAGACACTCAGACAGGTATGAGGCTGCCAGCTGCTGTCTTTCCCTAGCACAAAGGAGGGATGACCACGGGGCTCAGAAACATTCTCACTGATCCAGAACACAGAGTGCCTCAGGAAGAACGCTTTGCATTATAATGCATATTCTGACAAACACTTGGAGAGGGGTTGCAGGCTTGCTGTGTCCCCAGCTGCACTGCAGGACAGGATGCAGCTCTGCGGGTGAGGGATGTGACAGCACTGCCAGCAGTGCTCCTGCACAGACACAGTGTGGGACAGCAGCATCGTTGTTAGAAGGCTGGACCATGGGAAATGCATGATTAACAGATGCTTCTCAATGATCCAGGGCAGGCACGAGGCTGGATTAGGCACACAGCTGCAAGCCAGACATCAATACTTGAGCATAAGGAAACCCAAGGAAGAAAAGCAGCGCAGGATAGCTTTGTGGCCATCTTCTGCTTACAGAACAGACATGAACACAGGGAGGTGGCAGTCAGTTACAGAACTTGCTATGGCAGATCCCTCCAACTGGAGGAATCTGAAAATCAGGCAGACAAGGAGAGAATGAAACTCGGTGGTCCAGCTTTGGGACCACCAGCGACACAGTGACACGTGAGCCCAAGGAGCATCTGCACGAGCAGTCGGCCCTTGGGTCCTTCCCTCTCCATCTTTCAGGGCTCCTTTATGCCATTTTAACATCTGTTGGTCTCCCAAAACTTCTGTCCTTAAACTAATTATTACTGGTAACTTCCAAAGATCAGAGTAATTTATTTTTGTCAAATGTGACTGAAGATTAATGGATACAATCAGAAATAATTTGGCGAAAATATATCAAACTCATGAAAAGCAAAATTTGTTGTTAAGTGAAGCAAACATAATAAAAGAGCAAGTTCCATGAATGAACAGCAACAACACACAATTCATTAACCAAATGCCTAGGAATATTTCACACTTCAGAAATCCACTGATATAATCAGAATATCTAGTAAAAGGAACTATTACCTACAATAATTTCTCTATGCTTTACAACTGTATTTTCCACCACGATATGGCAAAGGGAGAAATGAAAAGGTCCAAAGTTACTTTTAATGATAAATGAAAAAAAAAACAGTAACTTGATTTGTGGTAGCTAATAATGAAGAACAACGAAGCAGGCCTTGCTGCTCAATCTGTTTCAAAACGATCACACCTTCTGGCCAGGTATTCTCCAAATTAAACTCCATGTAACATTCCTGGAGTCAGGTTTTACCTCTTCTGACATATATTTACATATTTAACAACCTTAAGAACTTTATGACTATTTCATATTTTGCATTTCAGTTAAAAAAAAAAAAAAAAAAAAAAAAAAAGGAAATAGCAAGGTCAAAAATACAGATACCAATGAAGGCCTGTTCTCCTTCATTGGCTGATTCCACTGAAAACAGCAACCGAAAGAACACATCCCACGGTTCTAATTCTTCTGGGTTTTTAAAATAAAAATACAGTACAGCATTTCAACTGAACAGAAGCTGATGCTCCAGCCTCTCTCTCTCAGAAACCTGTGCATTTTTACCTATGCATCTGGAGATTTATATTCACCAAACTTGTAAAATTACTGATTCCCTCCAAGAGCCATTGAGTTTGAGTAGAAGCCAAAGTTATCATGCAGGGAGGACAACAGTAGGTGCTCATGCCTTGCATTCCCCCCAGAACCAGAGCTCTGCACAGGACAGACGAGCTGCCACACATCTGTCAGGCAGCAGCCCACAGCCATACAGACATTCTCAGCCCCTTGCAGAAGTCAGGTAGAAAGCATCACCCTGAACTTATTTTATCTCAAGCTTTCTGACAGAAGGTTAACGACTTGTTTTTCTACTTAGGTAGCTTCTTAAACCAGTTACACAGCTAATCTCACAAAAGAGGAGCCAGGAGAGCACAAACCTACTGTATGCAGCTGCAGACTGAAGGCTGGGAGTAGGCTCCCCAGTACATTCAAACAGCCTTCCCTAACCCTGCAGTGCCACAGGCAGTACAGAGCATTAGCAGAGGTTGTAGATCTCACGTTACAGGAAACATGAGCTTGAGAGCCATGTGCCTCATTGTGAATTCATGCTTGCTCCATTCAGAAATAATGTGTGTACTGCAACGTTGTGTAACTGCTGTCTTCTCTGTTGCAGGCATGCAAGTGTAACTGCAGGTAAACCCACTAAGCAAGAGAGGAGAAATCCATCCAAGAGCAGCCAGCAGAGGGTCAGAACTGATGTGAACTGCATGTAAGCATTTAGACAATGAAAACTATGCTGAAATAAAATATAACAAGATTTTTTTTTTTCTTCAGGTTCATTTCTGCTCCTGAGATCAGAAGGCAGTTTTATAACCAGGCATTCAGACGACAAATTCTTTACCTTCAAATGGCTTTTGAAAGCCAATCTGATTAATGATTATAAACCATGTAAGCCAAGAATGAAGTCTTACCTCTAGTGACTGCATCTAAGGCACAACCACTTCCTGTTGCTCCTCCACCTATGATAAGAACGTCAAACTCAGGTGTGTTTTTTAGTGTGGAAATCTGCTCTTCTCTTGTAGGAAAATCACTCTTTATGGGAACAGTCACTGCTTCTGCAGCTTGAACATTCACCAGGGTGCCCTACAATGATTAAAAGCAAAACAAAGATCCTCATTTTATGTGTATCCAACAGCCACACACACTTAAATATGCATGCAACAAATCACAGCACTTCCTATTACCCAGAAGGTAAACTGAAACATTTCAAGTTGCTTTACCTTTATGTAATGATAATACTGTATTAAAGCATTATGGAGCAAATACTATTAAAAACATACAAGATCAAAAAGCTATGCTGGCTGTCTCTTTGCTTGGAGCTCCAGCTTTGCTTTGCATTCCAGCTCTCTTCCTCCCAGGTTTCCCTCACTCACCATTGCCCCTCACACTCTGCACACAGCTAGGCACTGAGTTCCTCTCACTATTTTGCCTGTTTTTTGCTTGTTTATTCTGAAGACCCAAGGGACCCATGTTTTCCAGCTGCACTTCCAGAAGATGCCTTTAAACCACTGCATTTTAAAAATATGCACTGCAGAGACTGGGACACCGGGGTCAGGGTAACTAACTGGAAGATGCAGAATGGACCAAAATAAACAGGAAATTAAGGCCACTCATTTTCAGACTATTTCCTGGAAGTTACACTTCCTGCACAAGCAGAAAACAAAAACCCAAGTGTTTGAGCCCTATGCCCTAAGTCCCCATCTCTTGGGGGTGTTCCAGAGCTGTGTGGACGTGGCACTAAGGGACAGAGTCAGTGGGCATGCTGGGGGTGGGCTGAGCTTGGGCATCCTAGAGGTTTTCTCCAACCCTAACGATTCTATGAATGCCGTGCATCTTCAGTCCAAGCAGCAGATTTAATTGATGTGAGACAGCCTGTGCCCAGGGCTCCTAGAAAGGACAGAAACTACATTTGAGTGACAAAGCCCACTACAACCCCCCCAGCAGCATGCCCTGCCTTGCTGCTCTCCCCACTCCCAGCAGTCCCGCAGTGCCGTGAAGCTGCAGAGAGCTATCTGCATGTACAAGCCACCTTCAGTTTTAAGAACTCCAAGTGCTTCCCTGGCATTTGCAGAGGGAAGGGAATATACACCTGCCATAGCGAAACAGCTTGACTGACAAAAGGTAGCTCTGTCACTTGCAGCCATCTGTTCCTATCTGCAGCTGAAGAGGTTTCCAGCAGCTACCGGCCAAATGGTGCAGCTCCTCTTCAGCCAGCAATTCTGTGCTTCTCGGAGCTCTGTTAGCAGACCTGGGGAGCCTAAGGTAGAAGGGATTTTTGCAGGACCTCTGTAAATTATCGGTGAACTCAACCACGCACTGAAGCCTTGACTTGGCTTGAACTGTAAGTGAAATGTATTATCTCTCCGTGTTGCGATAAACGTATCACTGCAACTGACAATGTAATCTAGTAACCTCTAGGCCTGCCTAAACAAAGAGCACGTTCAAAACGCACAACTAATGACCAAGCTCATCTCAAGCATGGATCACATAGACTGAAACACAAAGGCTTTCCTTCCACTTCCATGCTGGCTAACTGCAACAGTGCAGCACAGGAAGGTAACAGCCAGCGCTGCCACTGCCCTCTGTGGCACTACAGACTATTTCCTAAGTGCTTACCTTAACTTGAGGAAAAGGAATACAATAAAAAGTCAGAGTTTGTGAAGCACTGACACCATTTAGTTTCTTTAAAATGCATTATCTACAACAAATACAGTAAAAGAGAGCTCCAAGCAAACAGTCCCTGGCACAGCAAAAGCTCAGAGATCAGCACACGAGTAACTGAAAGTAAGCACAGTGATTAGCAGCCTAGGAATTGATATAGATATGATTCATCTTGCTGTCAATTAAATGTGAGACTGAAGAAAAGCTGCATACAGGGATTCCATCTGCAATAATGTGATTAGTTTGGCAGTGAACAAGTGTGTTTACTGAAATAAGCAATTGCTGTTTATATCTACAATTTCTCAGGCAAGAGTTCCTTGAATGGTTTTGATTACGCTCTTAGTGAGAAGAAATGTAGTTTGGCAGTCTGAATTCAATCATCAAGTTATAAAGTGATCTAGTAATCCATAAGCAAGCATTCTTGTTAATTTGGCTAATGTAAATCTCCAGGTAGGTTCACGGAGGCAAATTCATCATCCCTATTCATTAAAAAAGAAAATGAAAGTAATTAAAAAGCCCAAAGCAAGCTCCGATGCATTATCACGTTATCGCTGTCTGCACTGGACTCCCTGCAATGAGCAATTCCTGCTGCCCCACAACGCTCACCAGAACAGGGCTGCACTCAGGCACCCAGCACAGCCCCACAGCAAAGCAGCGCTTTTGCCTCAGCGGCTACAGAAAGTAGCAGTGGCTCAGGGTCAAACCCAGAAAACCAAACAATACCCCAGCGTACCTGCTGCTAGCCCACCGGGCTCAATAAACAGGCACACAAAGTAAGAACTCGGCAACTGTCACCAGCTACAAAGTGAGAGAAATCACCATTTCCCTTCCTCTGGCACCATTAACCTTAGAGGTGCTTGCAGCAGAGGTACCAAGGCTGGCCGTGGCACCTGGGCCATTACAAGTGCTTGTAGAAGGGGCACCAAGGCAGGCTGCAGCACTGGGGCCGTTTCTATCGTTCAGTTGTCTGAATACACGAGGCCAGAACTCCCACACAGGCAAGCTGTGTATTTTAAGCCCTGTGTAGGCACCCAGCTTCATCTCAGACAGGATTTTCATTTCCAGGAGCTCATGATTCAGTAGTGAACGTAGCGCTTCCAAGCTGGAGAACTATCTGCATTGTTCAAGATGAATTTAATTTACAGAGGTGGCACAGAAGGGAACTAAGCCTTCACATTAATTCAGCAAACATCCCAGCGATTGGGTTACCATCCGAAACACAGCAGTGCAGTACTCATCTATCAGCTTCTGAGTTAAATTCAGCAACTCTGTCATGTCAACACGTTCCCATGCTCTCCCCGCTCAGCTCAAAAAACAACACACAATCAGAGAACTGACTCAACCTCTGGCATGCCTGCATATGCCATACACAATCAGGGAACATATAACTCTATTGCCTCAGTTGCTGTTGCAGAAACAGTCTCCCAGGCATTTGTATCTGTGTGTTACAGGAAAAGAAGTTGGGATAAACAACCTGACATTGGGACAGATCAGAATGCACCGTGTTTTATTTCCAGGGTGTGAACACCTTCCAGTTCTTACACCCATGCAAGGCTAATGGCACTAACCAGGCCATTCTCATCCAGGCTTTCACCCTTAAGCCTAGCAAGAACAACTTCAGTTCCCACACCAGAAAACACCAACACTCATCGCTTTCAGCAGACCAGCCACGCACTAATATGCCCAACTAACAGATCCAAGGATCTCCCACCCCTTCTCCAGAGCCAGCAGCTCACCACCCCTTAGCTTTCCCTCGGGGCAACCTGGGACAGCTGAGTTGCACAGGAGCATCCAGCATCAGCTGAGCAAACACAGAACAAAGACAGATAAGTCAACCGCACTGCGTGCTCAGCGTTACTGACCAAGGGAGGTCTGCATTCCTTACCTGGGGGCTCTAATCCCAGGATGCTAAGCACAGCACAGACACACAGAGTCACTTACAAACCAAGCATGCTGCTTTACTTGCATTTTATTTCTGTCTTATTATGTGATGGATTCTGATCTTGAAATAACAAACAGACTTCTTACATGCAGCCAATTAGTGCACATCTTGGGGCAATATCCTTCCCTGGCACAGGAAGACGAGATCTTTGCCCTAGCATACATTTGATTGGCAGGCATTATTAAAAAGAGGACACTTGGGCTGGGGGACATGCCCACAGCTTAGATATGTCAACACTACAAATGGACTGTCCCCCTGTGTGTCAATCCCTGCAGTCACGTTCCACCTGCTGCCCTACATTAGGTGGTTAAGGCAGAAGCTTTAAGGGACATCACGTGGGAAATGTGCAAGTTAGTACAGCATGAAAACAACACGCTGTTCACTTGACAGATCCATTTGCTTACACATATGCTAGAAATTTTTCAGATCCTTTGTAGACAGACACTACACAATAGGTCCAGACATCAAGGGACAAGTGGATGTTCTCATTTTGACACCACTTTCTTTAAAGTGTGTTGTTTTTGTTTTTTAATTTGCCTTTGGAAATTGGGAACGACCATCCAATAATGGCAGTGGAAATTCTTGAGTTTTGAAATATTGCATATATGACAAATTATCTACCCAGATCAGTTGTGCCTTCCAACTCCTTCTTTTATTTAGCAGTCCTAAGATTTGAAGCTGCAGTTTCCAACAGTAATGAAGCCAGATTGTAATATCCTATGATAACGGCTCCAGAGAGAGTTAGATTAGCAGCTAGGCTCAAAACAGGCAGTCCAATGGGAAGCTCACTTAAAATGCTAGGCTTTATTTTTTGCAACAGTATCTGAAGCTATAAGGATCCTGGCTTATCCACTTTCCTGCTAGGCTCCCTGGGAATGACTCATCTCATTGGCTTTACCAACATCTCAGCTCTACTCCTCTTCACAGGGAAACAGCCAAAAGATTCAGACTGTCATTTATCCACACCCATTCTGCACACCTTCATGAAGTTAAGATCTACCTGTATCCCTGGGTTTCAGCTCTGGTGGTCTGAATGGGAACCCACAGTAAATACGTAGCTAAGCAGCTCGTGGTAACTTGCTGTTGGTAAGGAGCTGGCCAATTGCATTTCTAAGGTGAGAAGCAGAAAGCACCCTGAAAAATGAGCACCCGCTCACCTAGCTGCTGGAAGGCAGGATGAGGTGCCCCTCTTAAGCCTTAAGCTCTTTCCAAACCAGATGGAAGTAAATCAGGCCAGAGCTCTGACTGCACCTACGTGCAACACTATGGAACACCAATTGCAGTGCTGGCCAGGAGTGAGGTAGCAGCCTCACTGCCTACACCTAACAGATGAGAAGATGTGTTCTTTACACACATAGCATACAAATATATGAACTTCTGAAGCACAACACAACTGCACTGAAATAAGAGGTATGTGCCTAAAACCAGTAGCTGCTGATCAGCACCAGCTCTGCCTAAAAGCAGTCCACAGCTCCTGTTCCTTCTGCTGATGTTTTCCCTAGGTTTTTGCATAAAGAAGTGGCAAACGAAAACAACAAAACATGGCTGCTCCAATTCACCTGGAAGAAGCTCCTGCAACAGTGACACAGTCTAGAACCAGGAGCTACTAATCTGTCCCTGCTACTACTATCTTTCTTTATCAGTGTATTTTCACCATCTTCCTTCACTGCTCTGGGAATCCCATCAGTGTGCCTTTATTACCCAAAATACAGCCTTACACCATGTCCCGAGCATATCTTTGTCTAGGTTGTGCCCACCCAGTGAGACACCAGGGCTACCAGAAGCAGAAGACATCCCACAGTTTTCTGAACTGCCCCAAAGTTGCCACAATCACTGTATAAAGCTGAGATTCTCAGGTAAATCTAGAGTTCCTACGTACTTCAAGCAACCTGTACTTCAGCTGGTACTTCCCACTTCTCCTGCAACTAAATGACATCCCTTAGTGGTATCCAAAAGGCATTTTTTAAACAAGAAAAACGATTTATATGAATCATATTTTGCCACTGGTTAAAGACCTGCAATGGTGAAGCATCATTGAATGCCATCCTCCAGATAGCACACAGCAAATCAAGCTGAGAGCTCTTGGCACCCCTTCCCAAACAAAGCTATTCGTACAAGCCTAACATACGCTTAAACAGATTTTAAGCTTCATATTTTATCAGAAGTCATAATTAATACTTACGTGTTTGTTTCTATACTGAGAAAATTGAGAGAGGCCAAAAACTGTTGCTATGGCACCTCCTCCAATGAGAACAGTTCCTTTCACTGCCTTCTGAAATGCCATTTTTTACTGTAAGAAAAGAAGATAAAAATTAATAGGCAGTTATACCATGTCAGAACGTAGGCAACACAGAATAGACCATTTGTAGAAGACGAAGATGATGTTGTGACAAGTTGGAACTTAAGAGTAGCAATAGATTAATTAACGATTTTCATCGCAATAGCAGCGACTTCTAAACAAATGTAGACAGAGGCAAGCCAGAATGCTCTGGTATTTGCAACTCAGGCAGAATGACAAAAGAGTATTTAAGCACACGGGGAGATGTGTGGGTACACACATACGTGGTGCTGTACGTACCTGCATACATGACAAGTATTCACAATACTGTGGCAATAGCAGAGTAAGAACACTGCCATCAGCCAGATGGCCACCACATCCTTATTGCAGCAGAACAGCTGATCTGCTTGCAAGATCACCTTCAGCTCCCCTCCATCCCCTCAAAACCATTTTTACAACCAATTATCCCAACAGCACTCCATCCCACGTCTCTACCAGGCATTACAGCCCTGCTCCCACAGCTCCCCAGCACAGCTCATCCTACCCAGGCACAGCACAGAGGCGATGAGCTGCCAGCCAGGAATGGCTCCTCCAGCGCTGAGCGGCAGCGGAGGCACGGGACAAGACTGAGTGGTTTAAAACAAGCACAGAACTCTATAATCTAGCTTCAGAGGTATTAAAGCCAGGCCTATGTAGGTCAGGAACATTCTTAAAAGGCCCAGTGTTTGGGGCTGAATGAAAAATTTGCATGGAACTGACCTGAATCTTAAGTAGGCACAACCCAACCCATCCTGCCAGGACCAAAGCAGCTCGCATCCCATAGAAACATGTGTCAAGTTAGAACAGCTCAGACAAAGCTGAGTCCTGAGGTGACAAGGGCAGCTTTGTGCCCCAGCTCCGCACAGCAGCCCCAGCACAAAAGACAGCACTGCTGCAACACGGCACAGGCAGCACACACAGCCCTGAGAGCCCCTGTGCATCTGCAGCATGGCAAGGGAGGCTCTGGGCATCATTCCACCCTTCAGTTGGCATTACAAGTGGCACCAAAGATCTTTAAAAAACAAAACAAGTAAGAAAACTTGCTTTAAGAATTGATACCATCTTTGCTTCTGTTCACTGTGCTTGCAGCATGCTGGGGGGAGAAAGCACACCAAATTACTGCAGGCTTTAGGAATGATGTATGTACTGATGCACAGATTGTTGTGCAGGAAGAGGACTTGCACCTTCCCCAGCGTTTTTGGGAAGAGCAGCACACACTCTGCAGGGTTCTCATCACAAAGACAACCTTTATTGGACCATAAGTGGAGTACCAAGTTTTCCACCGACTTTATACTTCAATCTCAAAAAAGACCAACTTCACCTTTCCTCTATATTGTGACTGGGAGGAGGGCCCCAAATCCCCCCCCCCACCCGAATTAACAGAACTACAAAGAACACACGCAGGCAATGAGCATCAGGCCACACACCTGTGGCTGCACAAAGCACCTGGCAATGGCAAACACACACTGAGAACTCTGTGTACTGTGCACTGTCACCATACGGCCTCTGCAAGTCATTAGAATAATAACTTAACTTCCAACTGCAAGCTGGAGGCAGCCTTCAAGGAGTTCCACACACCTTATGCAGCAGCACAGAGTCACTTCAAATAGGGCTGCAAGACCCTGCCTCACAAACGCCTGCTCTGGGAACACAATATGCTTTAGAATCCAAGCAAGTTTCAAAAGAACAAATTAGCATCTTCCAACAAGCCAACTTGCATGACAGAAAAAACACTGGCTTTCAAGAAAACAAATGGAAGTATGTCCTAGCACTTGTTTCTCCTTAAATCACCACATTTAGCTGTGAAGCCTGGGTACAAGCTATCAGAACCAAAGCCCCACATCTTTGCTCAGCAGGGCCAAAGCAGAAAGCTGGAGGTGCAGGGGCTGACCGCCAGCCCAGCTCCCCAGAGACCTGCACTACTTCACGTAGTTATACAAATTCCTGACAATTACAGCAATTTTTTTCTCAAAGCAAGGGAATTGTGATACCAGAACTGCGTGTCCTGCTGGATCATACTAACCAAGTTTTTTTCATTAGCCTGGAGCCACAAAGACGGTGAAGGGATTGGAGCATCTCCCTTACAAGGAAAGGCTGAGGGAGCTGGGTCTGTTTAGCTTGAAGGAGACTGAGGGGTGACTTCATTCATGTTTATAAATATGTGAAGGGTGAGTGTGATGAGGATGGAGCCAGGCTCTTCTCAGCGACATCCAATGACAGGGGCAGTGGGTGCCAGCTGCAACATAGAAGGTTCCAAGTAAATAGCAGAAAAAGCTTCTCCATGATGAAGGTAACAGAACACTGGAACGGGCTGCACAGAGAGGTGGTGGGGTCTCCTCCTCTGGAGACATTCAAAACCCAGCCGTGTGCCCTGACCCGGGTGTTCCTGTGCTGGCAGGGGGATTGCACTGCATGGTCTTTTGAGGTCCCTTCTAACACACACTCTGTTATTTCTGAAGAAATCCAGCTTTTTAAAAAGGAAGGAATCACATCACATCTTGTAACCAGTTGACCGTGACATGTTTAGTTGTGTTAAAGAACTCCTGCTGCACCAACCAAAACTAAATTTTCTCCGCCCGTGAACCAAACCAGAAGTATCACTGCATAAATGAAGAAGCACAAAAATCTGTGTGCTACATTTCCAAGCTGTTTGCACAAATTTATGAATATAATAAAAGAAAGACTCGACACTCAGTGAGTTACATAAATAACTACATGGTATTTTTTTTCAGTAGCTTGAAGTACTATTTTCTTCTGACTACATTTTGCTGTTAAAATCCTCAAGCTACATACTCACATAAAGAATAAAAGCCTTCTAGGACACAGCTGGGAAATAAGATACTTGCAAACATTACACCTATTCTTCATATTTCAGAGACATACCTCACCTGCTTCCCTTTCCAGAACCAGTGGGCACTGACCCAAAGTCTCCCACTCGCAGCTGCATTGGTTCAGGAGCTCCCAGTGCCACAGCTCCCAGGTCTCCCAGATGGGGGAACTGGTCTGAGCAGCCCCAGCCACCACAAGCAGCCCCCCACAACAGCTGCCACAACCCAGACAGCATCAAAGCAACTCTGTCACCAGCACTAACAGAGCACAACACAACCCTTCATATGCGCAAGCAGCTTCTGGAGACCAACCATCCTTTAACAGATTATCAGAATCACACAAAAGCTCGACTCAAAATTGGCTTCTTGGATGAGGCATGCAAAATCTTCAGAATGGTGTCTTTTAAACCACTGTTTTTAAGCACACTAACCTTTCCCACCTTCTCCACTGAAGCTTTACACCCTACAGGAGCAAGGCCTCCAGCAGGGCACAAAGGCGCTGCCGCCAGACCCCATTTCACCCTAACCAGTGACGTTCCATGTGCCACATCACAGCTCTGCCGCAGTGTGACAGGAATGGTGTGGCACCTTGGTGCCCTTCTTATGGCCAACTTCCAGCCCCTGCAGCTGGCTGTCCCCTTGGGAGGGGAGAACAGCTCTTGGAAACAGTGACAGACACCATTTGTGTGGACAGCTGTCACATTTTGGGGTGCATTGCACCGTGACCAGCAGGGCAGGGAGGTGCTCCTCACCTCTGCTCTGCCCTGGGGCAGGGGCACAGTTGGAGCACTGCAACTGTACAGGGCCAGTTGGGCTGGGGAGCTCCAAAGGCCCCTTCCAGCCCCAGCACCGCAGCTTCCTCCAGCCCACACAGAAGCTCCTCACCCACACAGCCCTGCTCTGGGCAGGAGGATGGCAGCAGCACGGCCCAAACATGGCCTGGGCAGCCCTGTGGCTCGGTGCCAGCACAGGCAGAGAAATGCCAGGCTCGCTAAGCATGCACCTGTGGAGGTGTTCCCTGTGTCCCAGAGGAGCTTCAAGGGCTACTGCAAGCATCAAACAGGATGAACCAGAGAGCAGAGAGGAAACAGGAAAGAATGCAGGCCGTGTAATTATGGCAAAGATTGTATGTGGAGTGCCACAGATACAGACAAGAACCTAAACTCGAAAGCCCTCATCTATTCCAAGCAGATAATAAAACTTGACTCTCTTCCAAGCTGCGATCAACAACTTGTGATGGAATCTCAGAATTTTATATTAAGACATATCGTAACAGCATGCAGCACACGAAGCAGCACAGTCTGAAATAAGTCATCCTTCCAGAACACAAATATTCTGAGCGGCCTTTAAAAATGGCTCCAAAGTGTACTCCAATGCTGTACATCTCCAGGTTGAGCAAGCCTTACCCCTCGTTTCAAGGCATATTTTGATGCGCAGCACCTGTGGGTCCATGTCCTCAGCTACAGGGCTGGGGCAGCCCTTGGTGGGCCACAGATCAAGCTGCTGGATGAGGGGGATGAGGGAGCCCTCTGCTGCCATAGGGCACAGCACGAGCAGCAGGCACCACGTGCAGCGTGATCTGCCCAGATGTGGTAAGCAACCCACAGGGGACACTGCCCAGCAAAGCAGCAGAGCACAGTGCACAGGGATACACAGCAGTATCAGCTCGAGTTTGTAGCTATCTTAAGCCTGCCTATCAGAAGTGTGCTACAAACTGCAGAAGGTAGTACAAAGGAGAAGAAAGAGCCAGCCTACAGGAAATGGGAACCACACAAGAGGTTTTATCAGGACAAACTCATGCTTTCGGTTTCCAAGCACTCACTACAAACTGCCTTCAGAGCAGGAATCGCTCCCTCCTGCACTGAATTCCTACCCAGCAACTCATTGAACTGAGGTGGTAGAGAGGAGCGTAGTTTCCCAGCCAGCAGTTCACCATGGGAAGCACACAGCCCAGAGCTGCAGGACCCTCAGCCCAGCCCAGCTCTGCTCCCCAGTAACACTGCCAAAGACAGGGCTCTCCCGCTTTGCTCCAGCCCCAAGCTTAAAATCCAAAAAGCAGACAGAGAACAACTTACTCCTGTTTCTAGATAAACTATTTCAACAACCCGTCCTTGAGAGAAGCTTCCGAGCAGGGCATCCCACACG